GTAGAAAAGTATAAAAATGAGGTATATAAAGTAAATCCATATTAATACGATGAGCTGTAAAAGGCTCAAGTCAATAACTTCTGAGGATAACCCACTAATATTGTAGACTGCTAGGCAGTGTTAGATGTTTAGTTGAATTCAAACACTTATAGTATTTAGATGCCAATAGACTATTCATCTCTGACAGGACAAAAAAATAAATAATTTTTTAAAAATGGAAACGGAAAGAAGCAGTCAATGCTCTAATTAGCTTTGTCTCCTTTTTTCAACTGTTTGTACTTCTTCTTTTCTTAATTTCTTATACACTGCTCCAGTTTTTTTCTTCTTCCAATTTTATGTGTATATATCTGGTAATATGAATAGCTGGTTGTAAGACAATACCATGTATTACAACAAATACTGTGAAATTCATATTACTTTGTTAAGTAAAATTCTGTATGAGTTGTCAAAAAAATAAATAAAAAATAAAGTGAAAAAAACAGATTAGTAGGACAGTTACAATAATTAATACATTGCGTATTATTGTTTTCATAGTTATTCAGAGGACAAGATACAGATGTGATATCTTGTCTAAACAATTTTAGTAAAAACCTTTCTTCTCATTGAACTAAGAGAAAGTAGCTATATATCTATGCTACTTTGTATATACATATATTTTTCTTCACTACAAAATGGTCCTTTATTTATGTCCGTTTTTTGTTTTGTTTTATCAGAGATGGGTGTTCCATTGCTGTTAGAGAGACTGTATTAGAATTCCTTAAAATCTTTTCATACTTGATGCCAGTTAAAATACTGTAGGCATGTGAATTCAGCAAAATAACCCAATATAGTGCAATAGTCCATAATAGGAGGAGGTTATCAGCAGAACTGGGAATTGTCAGAAGTTGTTGATTTGAGCCTTTTACAGTTCAGCATATTAATACAGCACTACTTTTTATACCTCATGATTATACTTTTCTGCTGAATGGTTAAGACCAAGTTGAAGCAAGACCCATATAAAACTTTAACTTTGTATCTGACAAGGTCAGTCAAATCCCCTTAGGATTTACCCTGAAACCATGTACAGCACCTTGTAGATCTTCTGTCAGCATCAGCCATCTGGATGAGTCACAGCC